TTTATAAATTTTACTAGCCATTCTCGATGTTACTAATCGTGATTTTTTAAACAATGGTTTACTCAATTAGATTACTGTTTACAATCTAATCAATATAATATTCAACGGGCATCCAGAAAAGTTGATCGTAAAAAGAGATTTTAAATAAAAAATAAAACCACCCGATGGCGACGACGAGAATATAAAATATTATTCTTAATCAATCCTAAATAAAAATCTCATAATTCCTTCTTTAGAACAATTCCACGGGACCCAGCCACGCGGGCATTAGTGCTCTCCCTCTAATCATCAAAATGTAAAATTCATGCTATTCCATTCTTTCCTTGCTTTGTCCAATGAATTTAAGCCCCGTCTGGTATCTTTCGAAAAACCTTCTTTTAAAATTCATTTTCAATCACGCGTCTTTGAATAAAATAAATATTTTTTTATCACATCAATAAATTTTTCTTATTTTTTAACCACATATTTCACATTATATCACTATTTAAAATATATTATTTTCTCAATAATATTCATCAAACACACCCTAAATAAAAATTAGTATTCAATTATAAAATAAAAAGAAAAAGAGAAGATAATATAAAAAAATTCAAATTCAATAGACTTTTATGATGACAAGTGATATGTCTAATTGATTATGGCTGTGAAAGTTGATATATGATAATATTTTGGTTATGTTTCATCCATTTGACTCATTCTTTCATCCAACTGACTTTTAACATTTTCGAATCTTCATCACAAGGTTAGAAGCAAGTTTAGAGTATTTGCACTTTAGCCCATGAACTTTAACTTTCTTCCATTTTGGTCAATTTTCACTTATTTCTTTCAAATTAAGTCATATCCATCAAATTGCCGCCTAAACCAAAATACGATATTAATAAGTACGTTTTGGTATAAAATAATCATACGAGCGTATTAAATAAAGAGAAAAAACAATGCATTTTACATTCATATCAGACTACATTGATATAATGATCATTTATTAATAAATATATAATTCACGATGAATTATATATATATATAGATCTTGTCTTCATGATTTTAATAGTTCTTTTATGCAAAGTTCTAAATTACGCAATTGATTTTGTATTATTTGGTCAGTTGTTCATTCCGCGTTAAATAAATATAAAAATAAAAAAGAAAAGAACATTGCTTTCACTTGCAGAGTTATTCAATTTTTGCGACTGCTTTCGCATTGTAGTCATTCAATTTTTGTCAATACTAAAATATTTTGATAATTTAATAATGAATCTAGTAGCCATAATTTTGTTTGGTCAATGTATTCGACAAATTTTTAGCTTAAGAATAATTCGAACGTAAATAAAATACTATTATTTATTGTTTTGGTTGGTCAAATCATTGATTAGATGCAAGCTTGCTTAAGGCTGCATTTGGCATATTGAAAAAGAATGTTTTCTATGATAATTAGACAAAATTTGTAATAATAAGCTTAACATTGACACCGTCATAAACAATGGTGGGCCATAGCCCGTAATAGAAAGACAGAGCGGCCGTCCTCTCTCCAATTTCACATCTACGAGTATCCAAAACTGGATGCTCCGGGTCGGACTCACGTATGATGGGGCCCGGCCCAATAGAAAGTAACCCGTTTCCGCGTCGTGCAATGCATTAACTTTCGAGATTTGCTTGCTTGGCTGGCAGTGTACCGCTGATCCATGCTGCGGTAGTTTGCCAGCCTGTCTCCAGTAATAATTCGGCTTAGTCGTTGCACCTCCGGCTTGAACTTCCCAGCTTAAGCCGCTGTTACTTTTTCATATTTCATTTTGTTTTCTATTTTTAAGAGCAAATAATTGCCTAGAACTTATTTTTTCCAGAATTGTCAATCAATTGTGTATCTGTGTTTAATTTGTATAATTTTTCACTTGAAAAATGTTGAAATTTTAAATTTTTTTGTATTCGTTTGACTTTATTTTTCATGAAAATTGTTTACTAAACGGAAAAAAATTTTACAATTGGAGATAAAATTTGTTTCTGTTGCAAAAAAAAAAAAAAAATGAAATAATTAGGATTCGTTTGATTGCAAATGTGGAAAATGGGTGGAAAGAAAATATTTTACAAAGAATTGATTTGCCTAGAAATTGTTTTACTGGGAATTGTAATTAATTGTGTTTGATAGGTATAATTTTTCATGGAAAATGTTGAAAGTTTGGAATCCGTTTGACTTCGTTTTTTATGAAAATTGTCCATTAAAGTGATAATTTTCTCTAGCATTTGGTCTAGAATTTGTTCCAATTGTTTTTTAAAATAAATTGAAAAAACAATTACCATACCGAATACCAATCGTTTGGCTTTGTTTTGCATGGAAATTATCAATAAAAATGATAATTTTTTTTACTATTGTGTCTAGAAAATTTTCCAATTGTCAAAAAAAAAAAAAAAAAGAAACTGGAAAACCATTTTGCCACCAAACTGGTGGGAAAACCAATTCAATAAAAACCTAGAAAAAGGGGTCGCATAGGGAGTTGGGGGAAATGTTTTGCCAAGAAAAAATTGGCTATCAAACAAGAAAAAAGTTAGAACTTGAAAAATAATTTCCAAGTTCCATGAAAAATAGTAAACATGCTTTTGCAAAATTTGATAATTTGGTTAGTTTTATTATAATTTTGTTGTCGTGAAATCGTACCCATTTTTTTGAACATAAATTTGTGCCTATTTTTATTACTTGTCGATCCTTAAACAGTTTTCAACATCATTGATTATGTCTTTTTTTTACTATATTCTATACTTATTTCTCGATTTCCTTCAATTCTATAAACTTTATTCTTCAAGTAATAAATTACACTAAACAATGTTTGAAATGAGAATGAATTTGTGAAAATTTTAAATTAAAATAATATATGTCACGTTAACTTTAGCTCATGTTTGGTGGTCTTTATTCAAAAAAAAAAAAAAGTTTGTTTTGAATAACACTTTTTTTTAGAATATGTGATTAAAAAGTAGAAAAAAATTTGAGTTTACATGTAAAATATTTTATTGTGTGAATGTAGTTGAAAATGAATATGAAAAATAAATTAAAAAGTAAAGTAAATTAATGGAATCAAACAGGCTTATCTTATGGCTCGGCGCCCTGACCGGCTCGCTCGCGCACGAACGGAAGCCTCTTCTCTCTTCAGACAAAGCTCTTGAAACGCGTCAGAAACTGCTGGCTTCAATTATTACATAGTTTATTTATTTATCAAATAAAAAATTTCTAATTTCGTATTTTACACTACAAAAGACACAGAAATAAGGCCATAAAACTCCCCCTCAAACAGCCACCCTACCCACCACGTTGTCAACTTAAATTAACCCCAAAAATTATCTGTCAACCTTTTCTCCATTCTTTGTACTGTAATCATTAATCTGCTTCACATTTTGTCGATAATAATAGCTGAAGGAGCTGAAATTGTTCGATCAGAAGTGTAATTTGAGCTCGGCGTAAATTTTCTGGCGATAGTTTTGCCGCCGGCAATGTATAAGCTGCAGTTTCTTGTTCTGCTTAGCTCCTTGGTGGCTTTAGTTGCTGCTCAAGGATCTAGGAACAACACAAGTAAATGGCAAACACTTAAGGGTACGAGATCTCGGTCTCTTTCCGCATATATGCGTCTGTGTGTATCCATGTACATTTTTGTGTGCTTCTGCATCCTTTTCGGTGATTTTTCTCGGATATGGAAAAGGAAATATTGAATTAGGATTCGTGGGCTTTTGGTTTTTTTTTTTTTGGTGTAAAAAAATGTAAGGACTAGAGTAAGTAGAATGCTAAAGATTCGGATGAGTTATTTTGGATCACAATGATTTCTCTCAAAGTTTACAAGCATATCAAGTACTGCTTGAAATTTTATTTTCGTGTCCTCTTGTTTCTTAAAATTTGTTATTGTTGCTGCCCTGTTGCAAAATCCACGATATTGTTTTGTGGAGGAGGAAGTCATTTAAACACTAAATTTTGGGGACTTTATGAAAATATTGATTTTGTTAGCAACAAAAATTTTAACTTCAACTTAAGTTTATAATGATCTTACTATGTTTCGTTAGTAATAAGCCAATGGAGAATGCGCAAACTTTCAGTAATCGCTACGAAACTGCGAAAGTAAATTTAGTGAGGTCAAAGTTGGTGATCTCTTGCAAGACCGAAGAATCCATTGAAGACTTAAATAACTTACACGTTACTATATTCAACTATGCACAATACTTTCATCTTTTCTTAAGTTGCTTCCTGTTGAATTAGTATTTTATAGAAGTGCCTTACTTTAATTTCTAAATAGAAGAACAAAAGCTAGATATAAAATCTATCTGCTAGAGTCTGGTTTGTAGTCAATTTATCACATTAAGTTCTTTGCAGCTGCAATATCTGAACCTCGACAGCTGTCTGTATATGTTGATGTCTTGATGAGGCTATAGAGATTTATTTTTTAAATGTATAACGCTTTTATGCACAGTTCTGTTTTCACCTTATCATAGCCAAATAACTGAATCATATAATTCTGTGTCCCTTCAAGTCTTTAATCGCAGTGACTATCTCAGCTACCTTATCATAATATGGTTTCCAAGAACTTATATTTTTGTTGCTTTTTTCAGGAGGCCCACCTTTAGTCATAGCTAGAGGTGGATTTTCAGGCATGTTTCCTGATTCTGGTCAATATGCTTATCAACTAGCAGTGCAGATTGGCTTACCCAATGGGGTTGTATGGTGTGACGTTCAACTTACGAAAGATGGAGTTGGAATCTGCTTTCCAGATCTTAGGCTTGAAAATGGTTCTAACATCGATACTATTTTCAAGAACGGGAGCAACACCTATCCTGTGAATGGGGTTCCTATGCGAGGATGGTTTTCTGTTGATTTTACCTTGAACGACCTAGAACCTGTCAATCGTAAGTTCAGTTTATGGGTCCCATCATAGTATACATTATTTAATTTTTAAATCTTAATGCTTGCAAATTTATATGCATCTTTTAATCTTTCAAGGGACATACTTGGGGTAATGGATGATTTGCAAAAATAATAGTAATTGGCTGTTTTCTTCAAACAGCTTCATAAACCAATTGAATCTGCCATCGCTTTGTTATAGCTTCCAGTATATTTTTGCTTCTCACGAGATAAAACAAAATTGTCTACTTCGGCAAGTGGTTGGATTGGTGTCTCAAAAGTTGTTCCATCAATTTAATAATATAAAATTTGGCCTTTCATTCATTGTAAAAACATTGTTTATGAAGATTTCGTAGGGTAACTCTGCTTAGTAAATAATTTTTTGTAATTGTGATGAAGTTATAAGATACTATATTAATGCTTGCATGCTGACTGTCTTTAATACTGGGGACAGTGAAACAGAGAATCTATTCTCGGGCCCCTAATTTTGATGCCACTCCACAGCAGATTCTCGCTGTTGAAGATGTTGTTGACTTGGCAAAACCACCGGGGTTGTGGTTGAATGTTCAGGTACACGTATCAAATCATTCTTGGTCGTATTTAAAATTTTGTACCAGATATTATGATGACTCGTAATGAACCATGTTTTTTGTCATATCCTTTGCAGCATGATGCCTTCTTCAGCCTACATAATCTGACTATGAGAACCTTCATTATTTCTGTGTCTAGACGCGTTGTTGTTAATTATATTTCATCACCAGAGGTAAACTTCTTGAGAAGTATCATTGCACGATTCAGAACAAGCCCGACAAAACTCATATTTCAGTTTCTGGGACCTGATGATGTGGAGCCTTCAACCAACCAAACATATGGTTCACTTTTGAGGAATCTAACATTTATCAAAACATTTGCCTCAGGAATTCTTGTTCCTAAATATTACATCTGGCCTGTAGACAACAGTCTATATTTACAGCCTCATACGTCTGTTGTTTCGGATGCTCATAAAGCTGGTCTAGAAGTTTTCGCATCAAATTTTGGAAATGATGCAGCTTTAGCCTATAACTACAGCTATGACCCTGTTGCTGAGTATCTCAGTTACATTGACAATAGTGACTTTTCTGTTGATGGTGTACTCTCTGACTTCCCAATAACTCCATCTGAAGCCATAGGTAAGCTGCAAGCTATTTGACTAAATTGCATCATTTGTTTCGTTAGTTAATTTGTCCTATCCAAATTGAATGGAGAAATCATAAATATCTGCAAATTTTGGTTTTGTGTGGCAATTTAGTATGTGTCATTTTCACTAGCTAATATTGATAAAGACATGGTGTGTTGACTCTGAATGATATCTTCCAACATCTAATTTATTCGTTGTTGCAGATTGCTTCTCGCACATGGGCAAAAATGAAAAGGAACAAGGTAAGCACGAACATCTGGACTTCCCTGTTTTGAAGTTTGGATATTATTTTCTTTAGTTTCACTTGATCCGGAAATTTTTACGAATTCAATATATTTGTAACCTTTTGAGATTAACAGATCCTTTTGCTTTCTGTTTGATTCAGTAAAGCTTTTGGTTATCTCCTTGGAAGGAGCAAGCGGGGACTATCCTGGCTGTACTGACAAGGCATATAGTAAAGCTATATCAGATGGTGTAGATGTTCTTGATTGTCCTGTTCAAATGACAAACGATGGGATACCTTTTTGCTTGGGATCTATCAACCTCAGAGATAGAACTAATGTTGATGAAACAGACTTCAGCAACCTGGCCACAAGTAATCCAGATCTTAACATAGACAGTGGAATATACGCCTATAATCTCACTTGGAGCCAAATTCAGAGCACCTTGAAGCGTAAGTGAAACTTATCATCTATACTGTGACTCTCCTAACTTGACATTCACATTATTTTTAGCAAAAAATGTATAATTGGACTTGCGAATGGAGGGATTGACTTCAAAAGTTGAAAAATGAATAAGCTTATGCCATGTCCAGCTCAGATTGGGTTTAGGTTGACTAGGGCTTAATTTTGAAAATCATGATCTTTCCAAGGCCTCCTACATACATGGAACAGGTCTCTGTGATAGAGCTCTTCTGTATCTTACAGTATTTTAAAGATATTGAGGTTTACCGTATATAGGACATTTCACACGATACAATCAGACTCGAGAATAAATTAGTGGATGTGGGTTAGGGGCATGCCGCCTTTCAACTTTCATAAAGACTATTACCCTCCTTAATTTTGGAATTTCTCTTCTTTACTTATTTTTCAGATTTCTTAACTCGCTATTTAATTGATGTCTTCTCAGGTGCAGTTTTCATTCACGAGATGTTTGCTGCATTTGAAAATTGTTATTTAAAAGTGTAATAATATATTTTTGTTTTCACTGCAGCTGCAATATACAATCCATACGTAAACTTTTCGCTTTATCGAAATCCAAATGCCAGAAGTGATGGGAACTTTATGCAGTTGTCCGATTTTTTGGCCTTTGCAAGAAATGCGTCTTCGGTCTCTGGTGTCTTAATCAGCATAGAGGTGAGTTTGCTCAATGCAAGTGGCCTGGATTCTTATTTTTAAGAACAGAATCTTGTAAATAATGCATGTGCTTGCCCATCAAACATTTAGTTGTGCTGAAGCATCCCGTCCATATGATTTGATCACTAGGTTTGAAAATTCTTAACTAGCTACAGGTTGGAAATAAGAAAGATGTAGGGAATATGATCTTGTAAACTATTATCTTAATTTCCAATAAAAGAAGTTCCATGACTAGTTTTTAGGCATGATGTACTTCCAAAAATTGAGACTATCTCAATGCAGATGAATGGATGGTTAGAGAGAAGTTTATCTGTGAGAAAATAAGAAAGCATAATTTTATACAGCTTTTATTCATTCTCCAATCAGAAATTTACTGCCATTTGGTGCCACAGATTTATGCCCACTATTATCTATGTAGAAAATTGATGATAGAAGAAATAACAAAGACTATCATAATATCAGTCTCAGCTCTGTTATTCTCATTGGGGAGAAGAGTATCATTCATAAACATAACATAAATTTCATCTAATCGTGTCTGTCCTCACTCCTCCCAATAGCCAGTTGCTTTAGTATCTCATTATTAGGTTCTACATAACTTGTTCACCATTTCTCATAATGGTTCATCGCGCGATACTAAGTAAATAAATTGTAAAATAAATAATATGCTGACATAACTTGTTTACTGTTTCTTGTGATGGTTCATTGTGCGATAATGTCTAGCAGTCTAGGATGTACCGACACCCTCCTAGGGCTAGAGAGACACCGACATGCGGTTGAAATGCCAAGAGGCGTGTCCAAATTATTTATTTGATTTTGTACAGTTAGACGTGTCGTCGACATATTGCTTCAGACACTCACACGACATCGACATCTTGAAAACACCAAGTGGCGTGACCAAATTAATTTTTGGTTTTCTATAGTTGAACAAGTCGCTGACACGAGTAGGAAACCCCTGGTGGCATGTCCAAATTGTTTTTTGGTTTTGTACGTCTTGACATGTTGGGAGGAACATTGTCAACATGTTGGAATTAAGAAAAACAAATTTTCTTTATATTATAAATAATAGAAAACGAAAAAAATATTATTTTAATAAGCATGTAGGGACGTTTGTGTTGGAATTTTTTTAAAAATTGCATGTCAGTGTGTCCGTTATGTGTCGTGTCCGAAACTCTGTCCGTGTCGGTGCTTCCTATTTGTGTGTATTTTTGCTAAGCTTAAATTTTTTTATTTAAACTAAATATGTAAGTTTTAGAATAAATAATGCACTTGACATGTTCACTGATTCATGTAATGGTTCATTAGGCAATATGTCAAGTAAGTCCAGCATGCTCCACACATCTTGTGTGAGAATAGCCAAGACGATGAGTCAATTCAAATCAAAACTTAATTCCATGTTAGACTGCTTGCGTTTTAAATACCAGTGTCTGTTCTAGATACGATGTACAGACTTTAAACCATGATTGGACATATTATTCGTTCTTGCATATATTTTACTTGTTCTGTTGGAGGGTTAAAATCACCTCACCTCATTCTGGGTCCTGTTTTACAGAATGCTGCTTACCTAGCTGAGAAACAGGGACTAGGTGTAACTGATGCAGTTTTGGACGCTTTGAGCAAAGCTGGTTACAATAATCAGACAGCTAAAAAAATTATGGTAAAATCTAGGGATAGTGCTGTTTTGAGAAAGTTCAAGAGTACCAGCAATTATGAGCTTGTTTACCTGGTCGATGAGGATATCCGCGACATTACGAACTCAACAATTTCAGAGATCAAAAAGTTCGCCAGTTCTGTAGTCATCACAAAAACATCCGTATTTCCTATCGATGAGGCATTTCTCACTTCGCAAACGGATGTGGTCCCAAAGCTGCAGGCCTTTGGATTCCCTGTTTATGTGCAAATTTTCAGAAATGAGTTTCCGTCTCAACCCTGGGATTTCTTCTCTGACCCTTACGTGGAGATCAACACACATGTTTCTGTTATGGGAATTAATGGTGTCATTACGGACTTCCCTGCAACAGCAGCTAAGTATAAAAGTAAGTTTATTACTATACTTTTTATTCATTTCCTTTTTTCATTTATGCAGTGTGTTCACTTAGGAGTCTAGAAATGATAGTCTAAGCCATATCTATCCAGTTTTATAGTATCCATTGCAATTCTTTATGCCTTTTGATCTCGAATGTAGTTGATTTCACCTTAAACCTCACCTAACTTCACCTCTGTTTGCTCTCTATGGCCTGGGCTTAGCATGCACCCATTCACATTTCTGGTCAACTTATAGGCTTATAGCCAGCTTCCTTACCCGAGAACAGGGACTGAGACTTTGTTTTCCTGTTTCTTAGCCAAAAGTTATTCCATGCACGTTAGATTAGAAGTGAATTTTGAATATACGTGTCTTTAACCCTTTATTTGACTGGTGATCTTACATATTATTATTATTAAGAGCCCGTTTGGTACACATTAAAATGAGATAATGCATTTTTTTGAAGTGATGTGATGGGAAATATGTGGTTGAAAAAAAAAGGAAAAGTTATTGATGTGATGTAAAATATTATTTTATTGAAGAATGTGTGATTGAAAAAGAGTAGAAGAATGAGAATGAAAAAATAATGTGGATCAAACAGGGACTAAAGGATCAAAAGTCAATTATCATCTTCCATTCTGTTTGTGCCGATAATATAATTTCATTCAGCTGCACAGACCTCCATCCGTAATTTTCAATACATACTTCAATTGTAAAATACACTTTATATAAGATAATTGTTGTTTTCATTTTTTAGGTCGAAACGTGATTGTTGCAACATGTCTTATGCCAACGAATTCTTTTTATATTTGATTTTCGTTTGTAAGTATTATTGGATTGGCTCCTCCTGATTGGATGTCATCGACACACCCTCTCTTCACACTTCTAGTGCTTATAGTATTTGCTGTTTTGTACTATTCCCAGGAAACCGATGTTTAGGGTATAAAGAGGTGCCAATGTACATGAGCCCCGTGCTACCCGGCAGCCTTCTTGTACTTATGGCACCTCAATTATTGCCACCAGCTGAGGCTCCAAACCCGATTCTTTCAGAGAATGACGTGGTTGAACCACCTCTACCCTCCGTTGTGGAAAAGCCCCCGACCACTAACACTGGCAACGGCTCTACAGCACCAGGTCCGACCCCACGAAATGGACAGCCTACAATTGTTGCAAGCATGATCATAAGTTGCATTGCTATCCTTACCACCCTTTTGCTTTGCTGAGACAACCTCGACGACCTTGTTTTTTTTATTTTTTTGTTTGCATATCTGTAATTGACCTCATTGGACATTCTGAAGTTGAGCATCGGACACTTCGGCCATGATTTTCCTGTTCGAATTTTTAGGTACTTACATTCATTAGCAATATCACAGAGTTTGAAGATATAAATATAAATAAATATATTTTATTTTACTGCTTAGTGGTAATTCAATTTGAGATGATATATGTTATTAATTCAAGTATTGTCACACTGATATAATGAAGTGTTAGCCCAATATTTAAAAAATAATTAAATCATAAAATTTCAACTATTGATTCATAAAAGAATTTGAAATGAGTTTCTTTATTTGGTTCAACTTTCCACTAAATATTATGAAGAGTGCTACATGTACACCATGCTGTTCACTCCCCTCACATGGAGGGGGGCCCAAATTTTTTTTATTCGTGGTGGGTCTCCTCACATGTGAGGGGGCTGTGGCTGTACACCATGCCGTATGACATGGTGTACAACCATCATTTTTCAAATATTATTTCATGTAATTAGGCACCTAAAGTTGTGGCAATTAATGCGAAAACAGGTGTTTGGTGAAGAAGGGATAAATTAGGTGAAGAAGGGATGAATTATGAAAGTTGAAATAATATGGTTGGAAAGAGTAGAAAAAATCAAATAATTTTGTAAAGAAAATTAAAGCATGGCAAGATCCATGAATTTCACTCACAAAAAGATGCCATTAATGGTGTTATATTAATGGGACTTTTATCTCCTTTACATCTCCAAATGCCATTATACATGTGACTTGAGGAATCTCACGTTATGCTAGTAATATCTCTCCTTTTCTCTTTCCCCTTAAAAAGGATTATTTATCCATGACATTATTTTTTAGCCCCTGTTTGGTTGAGATTATTATTAAATTCTGATAGTTTGAAAGCTAGATTTTGAATTTGTTAATGATATCCAAAATTCAGAACGTTACAACCTTCCTTCACGTTACTATCAATTATCGATTATACATTTGTGCCTTTTAATTGTCTCACTGAAAATATGTCCAACTTCGATGTAATTCAATGGCAAAACGGTCTTTCGACTAACTAATAGTTGATGATTTTGGAGGAATGTTGTCCTTAGTGCCATAACATGTCTTCCAACCAAGAAAAACTTAGGTAGGCACCGTCCTACATGGCACGACCATCCAATGAGTGGCCACCTCATTGGATGGCCCAACCTCGTCCAATGAGGTGAAGCCAACTTGAGACTTGAGAGTTTCTCTCTCTTTCCACCTCAAGTCCCGAGGTCATCTCACCTCATTGGTTGAGGTTGGGCCATCCGATGAGGTGGCAGCTCTTCATTGGATGACCGCACCACGTAGGACAGTCTGGTCGTTCTATTCAAGTTTTTCTCCTTCCAACCATGCTTATTTAATTAATTGAGGATCCCACTTTTTGTTCACAAAGAATCGATTTTCTCTCTAGAAGCAGCATAAAACTCACCTTAATATTGGCTAGTCAAATGAGGGCACTCAATGTGCTCATAAAGCAACAAAGCATGATTTCCGGTAAGGATTAGACCAAGTGGGTAGGTTGAAAATATTTTGGAATGTGAGAAAAATCTCTAAACACCTTAGTAAAATAGTCTTGTAACTTCAACAAAAGAGGTTAAAATAGTTATACTCTAGCTACCATTTACTGGAAACTCGATTATGTGCAGAGTCGTAAAATTATGCATGGAGGCTAACGTCTACTTATTTTGAAAGGTCGAGGAAGTTGATAGGTGTTGCTTATATTACGAGTGGTTGTGGATAATTTTTCATTAAAAACTGCAATTATTTAGGAGGGAGTATTCCATGACAAAGAGGCAAATGTGCATGGTACAAACATTTACAGAAACTAAAGCCGCAAGAATATAGAAATAGTAACTGACCAAGGAACCAAAAAGCTTTTTCATGGAGTCCTATGAATTTGGAATCTCCCATAATTTTCTCCTTATATTTTCAGAAACAACCCCAGAAAAATTTCTTCAATTTTCCCTTTTGGCTTTCAAAAATAGTATTTTCAACAATTATTTAGAATTTTTGTGAATATGCTAGCTGAATCTGTATCCCCGGATCCTATTCCGGGGAAAGAAGAAGCGAAAAAAATTGGAGGGGAGGAGACGAGTTTGAAGAAATCGGTTTCGTCTTTAAATTTCAAGAAATTTGTTGCAAAGGGTTTGGGCAGTAGTTCAATGAAAAACCTATTCAAATCGAAGAAACCTCGGCTTCCTGTCGACGTCGTTAAACAAACCAGAGCCTCCCTTTTGTTCCTCCATTCGGGTGGCGAAGGTGGTGGTGGTGGTGCACACAAGCGTTTTGACAAGGTTTTTTTTTTCCCTTTTGAATTTTTAGGTTGATTTGCTTATAATATGAAGCGAATTCACTCTTTTATGACATTAGCGAAATTTGTATAGAAGAGATGGTTCAACACTCCACTCGTCTAACCACAAATACGTATGTTCTCATTTTTATTTTAGGTGGAAGAATTAGATGTCCTCATCGCTGAAATGAAGTCGATTCTTTATGGCTACGGTGAATCTCAACCTGTTCCAGAAGCCTGCGCGCAACTGACTCGAGAGTTTTTCAAAGATGACACACTGCGCCTCCTAATTCTTTGTCTCCCTCAATTGAACTTCGAGGTAAGCAATGAAAACTGCAAATAAACGTTTTCTGCCTTGAACATCTCCCTTGGCGTATTTGGAGACAATCAATGAATGATGCATCCGTCCTTTGTTGCTTATCATGGATGCAACATTTTCTTTATAGGCTCGTAAGGATGCCACCCAAGTTGTTGCGAATTTGCAAAGGCAACTCGTTAATTCACGCTTGATTGCTTCGGATTACTTGGAAGCAAATTTAGATCTTATGGATCAGTTGATACCTGGGTGAGCTGCCATTGTGATTTTCATATAGAATGCCATGTTTGTTTGTTCTTAATCTTATCTATCAATGAAATTAAAACTTAATGCATAATTCAAAATCTGAGAGGATTGCCTCTTACTTGTGACAGTAGCAAGAGATGGTCTCAAATCTTGCAACTAAAATGTAGAAACTTATACTATATTGGCTTTTTTGATAAGAAACACGGTACAATAGTCTATAGTTCTTAAGAAGAAAAAGAACTTGAAATCTTTTTTTGTTGTAATGTCCATTCCATTCTGATACTACATAAAACTGACACGCTCGCTGTATGTATATAAGATGAGAGACCTTCACATCCAGTTCGGAGGTTGGAGATATCCCGACCCTACTATCGTTAAGAGCTCCAATATGGGACATTAACTTTGATAGTTATTCTGTATCAACACGACTAAAAAGTAAAAAAGCTGAATATTTCCATTAATTCTTGAGTTTCATAAATTGCTTTTAAATGGTTTTTGGCAATGGAACTCGTAGTTTTTTGTTTACACATGCAAACATATGTCATTTGTTTTCTCCCCATTTTGTTACAGGTACGAGGATCCAGTCATTGCTTTGCATTATGGAGGTTTGTTAAGGGAGTGTCTACGACATCAAGTTGTTGCAAGGTAAGAACCTCCATTTGGATTTTCGTTTATGTCTGCCGACAAGTAATTTCAATTTTCTTTTATCTTTTTCTCTTCTCGAAATTTTAATATGGTTGAAGTTTACTGTAGATATGTTTTGAAGTCAGAACATATGAAGAAGTTTTTTGATTATGTGCAACTTCCAAATTTTGATGTTGCTTCAGATGCTGCAGCTACCTTTAAGGTCCGTGACCTATATTCATCTATATCTATATTCGTGCGTGTGAGTATATTTTGAAAGTCAGTGTATCTAACATTTTAGAAACCAAAAGTAACTTTTACTTGTGGTTTTGGAAATCTCGAGCTTGTTTGAAAGCCTTCCATTGGCTACCAATCAGTCAATCACAAAGCTAAAGTGTATTTGTTTGGTTCCGATTCTATAAGCAAATTATTACGAACTCTTTATAGTTTCTGTACTTTCTTACAGGAGCTTATGACAAGGCATAAGTCCACAGTTGCAGAGTTTCTCACTGGAAACTATAGTTGGGTATGTGTAGTTTTCATTGTGTCACGTTTTCTTGCTCGATCATTCATTTACTGAGCTATTTTAAATGAACACGAAAATAAGTTACTTAAGGTGCTTAGAAGCAATCCCAAGTACTCTCTTATCATTTCAACTCTACAGTTTCATCATTATGTATCTTAATCTTAATTCGAGTTTAAACATACTAAAATTTGCCATGCTGTGCCCTTCTAGTTCTTTGCCGAATTCAACTCGAAGTTGTTGGAATCTACGAATTACATCACTAGGAGATATGCCGTTAAGGTACGAAAGAGACTGATTTCACGTTTTATTCTAAACTTGTGCCTGTGAAATACTTAATTATTTGTGCTACTCGAACACGTTTCTTTATATGTTCTTTTTGCTCCAAGAGTGACTTACACTTTTGTTGTTCTCGTAGCATGTTTGATAGGCTAGACTCAAAGAAATCCAAGTTAGTCTTTTTCGTTGTGCTAGGAGTGTCGTCCTCGTTACCCTTGTGGCATGTTTAATAGCGAGTATTGAATAGTGGACATTGTTAATGGAGAAAAAATAGTTAATATTTTATTATCTAGTACTGTCTAACAAACATGCACTTTAGAATTCAAGAAATAAAAATGTTGCGTTTATAAAAAATAATTGAAGTTGGTTTTAAGTGTAATAGGACTCCCAGTTACTGCACGCGATCTCTGCCACACATCTCTTTCTTTCTGCTCTAGACCCAACAAAAAAATGGAACTCTGCCCTTAAATGAGAGACCCAAAGTAATGAGAAAATGACTTTTAAAGACCCGTTCAAATCTAACCAAAGCTACATTTGCTCAGACTTAAGAACAAAAAAAGTTGCTTTTTGTGCTGATGGCCAATGTTGACGTTCAGCTTCTTGGAGATGTCTTGCTTGATCGCTCGAATTCTGGCGTGATGATACGTTTTGTCAGCTCCAAGGATAACATGAGGGTTCTAATGAATCTTTTGAGGGTAAATACCTTCTTTTTTCAATCAAATTTTCATGTCGATTGCCATCTTGTTTTGTACTTATTTGAAAGTATTGGTGTTAAGTTTGTGCAACTCCGCAATGCTATTTTGCAATCAAACTTGACTCGAGTATTGACCTGGAAAAGTATAAGTTGAAAGTTCAACAGGATATCAGCAATAATTACATATAAATTATAGCATATAATGAGCAGGGTATGGGTATGGGTATGAATATGTAATTGATATTTTTCTGTTGCAGGAATCACACAAGAGCATCCAAATTGATGCATTCCATGTGTTCAAGGTTTCAATTCATTGCTTGACCAAATAAATCTTACAATATTTTCTAAATTTGATGTATTTAAAGTTTGTTGGGCATCTTGCAGCTTTTTGTGGCGAATCAAAATAAACCTTGTGACGTCGTCAACTTGCTAGTTGCAAATAGAAACAAGCTTCTACGCTTCTTCGATGGCTTCAGCATGGATAGAGGTATTAGATTCTTACGTCGTCATTGCATTCATCAATAAACTAACATATTACTATGTCATTCTTCTTTAATCTGATCTAGTTTGACGTAGTCTTGCTTACTAAACATGTTCACCAAGTTATTTATGATACATGTTTGGTAAGGTGGTTCACATTAACAGGACAATGAACAAATACAAATACTAAATGTCACTTCTTTAACCTTGTCGAGTTAGATATGGCTTTGTGTAAGAAACATGTAACACATTGTACAATATAGAGTATGTTTGGTAAGTCGATCTTTTGCATTGGATAATACAGTAGACAAACATTTTCGGTGTCTCTTCTTTAAAGTTCTCTAATTCGATGTAGTCTTGCACACAAAGGACAAGACAACAACAAAGAAGTATTTCACGTATCTCTCATTTCCAACGATGTCCATTTGAAATTGAACATATTCCATGTAAGTATTGTGTATATGATTTTAAGTTTAAAGCTGATTTTATTTGCAGACGATGAATTATTCGAAGCAGACAAAGCTCAAGTTGTAAAGGAAATTGAGGAACTTCGACCAAGAGCACCAACCACCTGCTCTGGAGAGCTGTCCAAACCCATGGCAGCATAAATTTTAGGGTCGTTCTTGTCCATCTTATTGGAGGATTTATTAGCAGCTTTTTAATTTCATTAATGGTACGTTTGGTTAGCTAGATTAAATATTATCGAACAATGTTAAAAAAAAAAAAAAAAAACTTATTCAGAATTTCCCATTTTAATGTTAAAATACATTTTCAATAAATTCACCACAACAAATTTACAATTATGCTATCATTAAATAAAAACTAGAAAATGAATATATCCCTGAATTACCTACGAAGTCCGACGATCGATGAAATCTCCGTTTGCATTCATTTCATTCATTCATTAGCTCTTTAATAATAATAAAGAAATACGAGATTTTTCATCTGGCTTAAATTTCTCCTATTGAATAAGAATCTGATTCAACGCATTTGCTGTGGAAAGTTTAATCCTACTAATTTATAGGACGTTTGATACTTGGTAGAGGATCTACTTTGTGTTAAAACCAACTACTTTTTGTGACGTTCATAGATTAGAGTATATCATCAAATATACATAGGTATTCGTATTCGTATTTTTTTTTATTTTATTTTTTGAGATTTATTGGTTCATTTGATTCCTTTCTTTGTCTTTTGTTAGAAATCTTTCGTGGATTTGCCGGGGTGTGTGTGTAAATATGGTATGTTTTGTATTAAATAAGATAATAATAGGGTTATTTATGTCTTTTTGCTTATGATCAATTTAGTAAATGAGAAAAAGGTAGTTATATTACCACTACTTGTTTACTACACCACAATTTTAAATATATGTTTTATCTACTTAAATAACCCTAAGTAAGATTACATAAATAGACATTCTTTTAAATATTTTTTAAAACTAATTTTTTTTTTGTTTCCGGTGACAAACATGAAACTTATCCTTTTTATTTTTTGCAACTTTTTTTCTTCACCGTGGACATGCTTTTCTTTTCCCTCGCTCCACTTGTTTATCTTTTTTTTTTGTTGTTGGTAATTACAGTGGATTTTTTATTTTTTTGTGATGTATGTAGAATTTGATGATTGTAAGTAATTATTAAATTTAACTCGCCGTAGATATGAGTGGGTGGGGTAAATATGTGTGTACAGAATTAGAAATAGGGTGATGGTGGTGGAGGGGGTGCTTACATTACAGTGGGTGGGGTTGGTATTTCATGAATTAGAAATGGGCGATGACTGGTGGGGTGAGAGAAGTTTTTGACTTTTTCTAGGTAGGATTAATGGGGGATTCGGAACTAATTGGTGGTGGTGGGTAGAGATTTTATTTTTTCCTTTTCTTTTCCACGGGCATGGTTTGAATGCCGATGAGGTGAGGATGGAGAATGAAAGAAAGGTAAAATTAAGAAGGGATGAACACCATAATATTTTAAGTTTTAGTTTAACTAGGACTATAATTGTAAAATTACCGTTGTGTATTTATTAAAAATATAATTTAGTTTATGTATAATTATAATGTGGTGACCCATAAAAAAAATGTGGTGTGAAAAAAATTTCTTGTGGGGGCAATATGATTACCCTATTTTGAATACCGAACCGTTTTTTGTCGGTGGAAAGCACATACAAGTATAACGACTACGAACATTTTGTACATATCTTGCTACAACACTTAATGAGAAAGACTCTTGTTAATGATCTGTCTATTTCTCCGCAAGCCGATTATAAAATTGGAGGAGCAGGATTAGCAATCTATCTTCCTGATCCCACTTATTATATTTCATAATAAAAACAACGATAATGCTATTCGTACATTCAAATTATACATTGTTGTTGACATTATGTGATGGGTAAAAATCTAACCATTGATTTGAAGAATTGTTATTCAAATAAATGGCTAGATTTTCTGCCACATCACACTGTCAACAAAGACGTCAACAAAACTTTTTTAGCATGAGATTTAACACCAATATTTTCTTGTTCACTAAAATGAACTAGGAATAGTTGAGCTCTTAATTCTGTTACCTTCAATGCTATCACTGAACAAAAACATAATCCTCCTTGAAAAATTCACAAGTGTTAACAATTGAATAGTTTAATCCAACACTAGAAAAGCTCAAACAAACTCCTACTCATCCCATTACAGAGAAAAACGAAAATGAAAAAAATAGGGCGAGATTTTGGGAGGAAGAACCTTCACACTATCAAGACAAAAGTTTAAGCAGCTGCACCCTTCCCTTTCTTCCTCTGGAGTTTCTTCATGTAAAACTCCAACTCTTTGCCCTCCAAAATATACCTAAAAACAGATAAGAAGCATATCATAATATCTAACTTCTTGTGATCAGAAGCATATAATGCTCTTAACAAAACAACACACATTATTATGTTCCTCAACGATCCCCAATAAAAAAAGTTCTGAGGACTACTTCTAAAATCTAATTTGAACAAAAGCTTGAATAACTGTAAAATTTGTCGATGTATCACAGCACAATATCCAAGTAATAAACACATTTTGACATCTGCAAAGCTTTAAATACAGCTCAACAGCATTCAGGATCATGCAAGTTTTGAACCTTGAAATGTAACTTATTTGAAATAACACGCTTTTCAATGTTTTAATAAATTGCCTCCAAAAATGAGCGTCAATATGGCTGGAATATTGCTGGAGGGAGTTTATTTTAACAAGATTATACATAGTATCGAAGTGAAACTATAATTAGAAATGATGATACAGTGTTCGTGTCGAGAAAGAGACAGAAGATACGCAGAGGAAAAAACATACCCATCAGCACGGCCACACTGGCCAGGACGTGAGGAGATTGCAGCTAACAGACGGCCACTGCCAAATTGCTCCTCCACGTGTGGGTCAAGTTTGCGATCCTGTTGACGTTTTTCAATTTTTCTCTTGACGTGGTTGCTCTTCTTTGCCTCTTCAGTAGCAGCAGTCTCAGTCTCCTGAAACCCATTCAAACATTATAAATCAAAATAATGGATAACAGGTACTATATTTTACCTAAACTTTTATCCCTTTTAGATAGAGAATCAAAAACAAAGTTCATAACCATCTCATTTCCTCCCAATATTAGGCTATAAAATCTCATTTTTTAGAGAATTGATACTTTTTGTAATCAAACAACATTTATACGAGTAAAGAGTGCAACACACTATAGTAGCAACTGCTCTTTGATAATTGTCTAATTAACAGACTTTTTTTGCAACTAGTTCCCGGCATCTCAAGAACATGAATTCACATTCACTAACATATACTGCTGCGAGCGAGATTTATTGACAGCATCCATTCTGTTACACAGTTCAGTTGCTAATAGGTATCTTAGTACATTAGTCATTTAAGCACAGGGTACAAAGCAATCATAGAGCTATAAAAGAATTGGGCATAGCTTAGTAACCAAGCATAAAATTATCACATGAAAGAACTATAAACATTAAAGCAGGAATAATCTAAGATAGTTCCTACCTCTCCTTCCTTCTTGGCAGCAGCCTTCTTCTTCCTACCAATATCAACTCCATAGTGCTGCAAATACCACTGCTTGAATGGTGCAGCATCCACTTGCACAATAGCACTCTTTACCAAAGTTTGGGTCCTCACCAGCTCATTATTCGACGCGTTATAAACCACATCTAGAATACGAGTCTTCCGGGTCACAGCTTCACTTCCCCAAGAGTAGTTCCCTGTATCCAGCCTCAGGGCACGCCACTTCACATTACCTCCTCTGACCCTCACCCTACGGACTGTCTTGTTGCTCGACAACTTTGTGTTTGCTGGTTGTCTTCCAAGCTCATACCTTGGAAGAGTCAAATTCGATTAATAATCAAAGGATATTTTAGAAACCTAACCGATCCAGTAATAAGAAGCGTTAAAGTAGATCTAAATTGTAATGTCACGTCAAAATATTTAATAATCTAACTCTTGACAATAATATATTTATCAACCAAGAATAGTTATGTTTGCACGTATGGATTAGTAGCTAGTAATAAAAATGCAAAAATAATCAATTAAAACACAAATTTTATTTTAGAGTTGAGTTCAACCAACTAGACAAGAATCTGACATAACAGATGGCACCAATTCAGAAAAGCTTTAGAATCTATGACAAAAGATAACACATCATCTTGAAGATGTACAAATTTCACACGAATTCATTTCGCAATTTTTTAGACGCCTATCAATCACATTAAGTAACAAAAAAGTCATAAATTTATATAAAATAGCATCAATTTACTCAAAACTTAAAAGTGAAATTACATGGACATTAAAAAGAGTCACCTGGCTTTTTTATAATCAGTTATTCAACAAAGTGATTTGAGCATCGGAATGATCTAGGTACAAACATGGAATACGGAAAACTAATAAATTAGAATAACTGACAATGTGATAAGGGATTTAAAAATAACAGCGGGGAAGACGTATGAGACTTACTTCCTCTTCTTCCTCCAGGCCTTCTTCTTGCCTCCGGTGGCACGCCTCTTGTGCATAGAATCACGTGAAATACCTGTATACAAACACAGTTTCCTTCATGTGTTTCTTCAAAATTGAAAATAATTGTTAACAACGTGTGAACTGGATAATTTGATCTGTTACCCATGGTTTCGCCGGCGGTGGTCCCTAGGGTTCTGTTGAATCCTCAATTGCCGAACGACAGTGCAAATGCAAACCCTACAAGGCGAATAAAGCAAAACAAAAGGGCGAGACTAGCTTTTATACCTAGCCTTCAAAACCCTAGTTGGTTAAGTGACGAAATTGCCCTCCCTACTTTTGTTTGGAATAACGTTGTGTTAAATTCACCGATGGCTACTCAACTTTATACTTGATATCACCAAAGTCATCCAAAATGATTTTATTTCACTAGGACAATCCAACTTTATACTTGTGTCACCATGGTCATCCAATTTGATTTTATTTCACCATAATCATCCAATTTCATATAACGTTTCACATTGACCATTTAATTTCATATAACATTTCATCATGGTCACTCAATTTCTTTTTATCATTTTCACTAATTTCAAAAGGGGTAAAACTATAACTTTGCATTATATGTAAAAAATAAATTTAAAAAAT